ATCATTAAACTCATAGCCCAGTAGTTGCTGATTTTCTAATTCACTTTAATAACTACAGTATATCCATACTCATAAGAGGAGGGCTTATGAACAAGCAATCTATTCCAATGACAATCTCTAGAGACTAAGAATTATTAGAAAATCATTTTCTCTTTCTCTAAAGGTAAGTAAATTATAAAACATTTGTTGAGTAAGATTGCTGTGCTTGCTGACTTAAACACACCAGGAATATGTTTATTCATTTCATATAATTTGGTAACAGCCCTTTTTTATCCAAGTAAAGTATTACTCTCCCCTAGTGATGCATCAAGGAACCCTGGTGGCACAATGGTTAAGCCCTTGGCCGCTAACTGAAAGATTGGTGGTTCGAACCCACCCAGTGGCTCCGTGGGAGAAAGACCTGGGGATCTGCTCTCCCAGATTACAGCCTAGAAAACTCTATGGGGCAGTTCTACTCTGTCACATGGGGTCACTACAAGTTGAAATTGACTTGACGGCACCTAACAATAGTGATGCATCACAATAAGATGCCGAACCAAAATGCAAAGATAAAGAAGATGCTGGTGATATACTACATCTTAACTTGACAGTCATGATATCGTGGAGAGGGAGAACGCTGAATGTGTCATGGGCACCTAGGCATATGAGAATTTCGGTTATTCAACAAATATTTATTGAGGCTTATATAGGAATCAACTCAGTGGCAACTGATTGGTTGGTTGGTTTGACAGCCTCTGATATAAAAGATATAGACCCAGCTAAGGGGCCCCAATAAGTAAACAAGGAACTACCATACAGAGCAATAAAAGCCATGGCAGAGAAGCAGGTGCTACGGGAGGAGTCAGGGCAGACCTTCAGACAGGCCATCTCAACAAATACATGAAAGATGACGTTCAGAGAGAAAAACAACTTTGGGGGGGTGGGGGGAAGGGACAGTATACATAAGCAGCAGCAAACAGCATATACAAAGCCACAAAATCAAAAGAGCACATAGTAGGTTCAGAGTTTTAAGCAGAGTGACATCATTAAGATTAGCACTTTGGGAAGATCATGCTGTGCAAAATAACTTGGCAGAGGGGCACGACTGGTGGCAGAGATGGCAGTGGGAGAACTGTTGCCAGGCTAAGATGATGGGGGCCCAACAAGGGAACGATGGTCCTAATTATTATTATAAAGTAACACCAAGAAATGTCTACTGAGCACTTTCTTGGTACAAGCACTGAGATAAGTACTTCATAAGCATTATGTTATTAAATCCTTACAACAATCCTGAGACGAACTGCAACCAATTTTACAGATAAGGAAGCTGCCGATATTTTCTTGTTTGCTTATTGTCTGTTGATCCCAACCTTCCCCAACAATTAAAACATATTTATTTTTTGTCGTCTGCTCCTTGAAACAGTGCTTGGCACATAGTAGGTGTTCAAGACATACAGAATAGATGGTTGAATGAACAACAACTAATAAAGGAATGTGCTGAGTTAAGGAACCTATGCCCACTGCACTCACTGCACTTAGCATGCTGCACTGCAATTTCTAGTCTTTGCTGGTCCTCCTCAGTCTCCTGTGCTGATCCTTCATCTAGTAAAACCATACAGCCCTGGACTCAGATGTGGGGTCTCCTTGTCTTTTCTACACCCATTTCTTTGCTTTCATCTAATCCCTTGGCTTTAAATATCATTGATTCATGGATGACTAAAATTTATATCTCTGGCATGGACTTCTCCCATGAACTCCAGATCCTTTTGTCCAAGCATCTACTCAACATCTCCACTTGATAGTTTAATAGGCATCTTGAACTTAGTATGTCCAAAACTAAGCTCCTGGTCTTCCCTTTCAAACCTGCTACTTTCATAGACTTCATCTCAGTTAAAGACAACTCTATTCTTGTAGTTGCTCACACCAAAACTTTGGCACCATTCTTGACTTATCTCTCTCATATCCTTCATACAATCCATCAGCAAATCCTATTGATTCTCTTCAAAATATCCAACATGTCCCCATCTCTACTGCTGCCACCCTAGACTGGCCCACCTTCATCTTGCCCACATTACTGCCAAAGCTTCTCACTGGTCTCCCTGCTTCCATCCATGCCTGTCCCCCTTTCAGTTGATTCTCAACTGATTCCCATTGCCAGAGTGATCAAATTAAATCTTAAGTCAGATCACTCCTTTGTTCAAATACCTCCACTGGCTCCCACCTCAGAGTATAAGCCAATATCCTTACAAGGGCCGAGGAGTCCCTCCAAAGTGCTGGCTCTGATTCCCCTCTGTCCTCATCTTCTATTACACTTCCTTCACTCTTCTCTAGCCACACCAGCCTGCTTACTGTACCCTCGGCTCAGAATGCTCTCCAGATACATGCATGGCTCACTCCTTCACCTCTTTCAAATCTTTACTCAAATGCTACCTTCTCAATAAGCCACTCCATCTAAAACTACAACCATGCCCCCTGTTTAAACATATCACCTAACACACTATAGAATTTGTGTATTCATTTTATTGTCTGTCCCCCTTAGCTCCAAGAGGGTTTTGTTCACTGCTATATCCCCAACACCTAGAACAATGTTAGACACAGTAAATCTCAATAAATATTTGTTGAATGAATGAATTCTAAAAATGAGTGAATGAATAAGTGAATTCTGTTTTTTACAGGATCTTCTCCAGGCCAGTGACACCAAGCAATAATCATCATGGAAATACCCTGAGGAGACACTCAGAAAATTTTGATAGGATTGAATTTACACATAGCTGATAAAACATTGGTGGAAAGGTCGATGGCTTTAGTTTGAAGAATCTTTCACATTAGTCTTCTAATCAACAGGTAAATCACAAGCAAGGAGTCTGAAACAATCTGAAAATGTTTTTCAAAGATTTTATAAATTTTATTTTTGTAAACATTTTTTAAATGCATTTTTCAAAATGTATACCAAGATAAAAAAAATCAGGTAGACAATATCATAAATACAAAACTGACAGATTTCAAAATATACAAGACACATACAATGTAAAAAATCTTAGTACATACGAAGTTCAATGGTATTTCCAATGTAAAAAAATCAAGCGGGGAAAATGCTTGACAATGTTCATCCGCCAACTACAAAACCAAATCCATCTCTTGACTGACTCCGTGAGCTGCCATGAAATCTGCAGCTCTTTCATACTCAGCTTCTCTTTTTACCTCATGGTACCTCATTTTTCTTTTTAATTTCTTTTAAGACAAGGGCCAATCAAGGCTTTTTAAAAGCTGATGATTGTTGTTATAATTTAACAGTCTGTGTGCGTGTGTATGTGTGTTTGGTACCATTGAGTCAGTTCACAGTGACCCTACGTACAACAGAACGATATACTGCCAGGTCCTGTGCCATCCTCACAGTCATTGCTATGTCTGAGTCCAATGTTGCAGCCACTGTGTCAATCCATCTCGCTGAGGGTCTTCCTCTTTTTCGCTGACCCTCTACTTCACCAAACATGAAGTCCTTCTCCAGGGACTGGTCCCTGCTGATAACATGTCCAAAGAATGTGAGACGAAGTCTTGTCACCTTGCTTCTAAGTAGCGTTCTGGCTGTACTTGCCAAGACAGATTTGTTCATTCTTCTGGCAGTCCACAGTGTAGTCAATAGTCTTTGCCAACACCATAATTCAAATGCATCAATTCTTCTTTCGTCTTCCTTATTCATTGTCCAACTTTTGCAAGCGAAAGAGGCGACTGAAAATACCATGGCTTGGGTCAGGTGCACCTTAGTCCTGTAAGTGACATCTTTGCTAAAAGTCTAGGGTTTTTAATACCAGAAGTTATTATTTTGAACTCTGAGCTATAGATGCAATGAGTTCCTAACACTGCATCCGAATCAAATTATGATTTAGATACTCTAAGCAGAATATATCATTTACAGAAATTTCTTTTTATAAAACTAAGATTTTCACATATTTGCTTAAATCACAGTAAACCTGTAAACTAATTTAAAAAAAAAAGAAACCTCCTTAGCAATGTGGAAAATTATTATTCACTCTATTTAAGGTTCCCTCAAATACTAAACATGCCTATCTGATCTAAAATACATCTGAAGATGGTGCCTTGCTACCACCAATGACCACCCTGACAGGAAACACAACAGAGAGTCCCTGACGGAGCAGGAGAAAGGTGGGGTGCAGAACTCAAATCCTGGTAAGACCAGACTTAATGGTCTGAATGAGACTGGAGGAACCCCGGAAAGCGTGGCCCCGGATTCTCTATCAATTCAGAACTAAAACAATTTCTGAGGCCAACTCTTCAGACAGGGATTGGACTGGACGTAGGACATAAAGTGATACTTGTGAGGAGTGTGCCTCTTAGCTCAAGTAGATACAAGAGACTAAACAGGCAGCTTCTGTCCGGAGGTGAGATGGGAAGGCAGAGAGGGCTAGGAGCTGGTTGAATGGACATGGGGAATTGGGTGGAAAGGAGAAGTGTGCTGTCACAGTTTTGGGAGAGAAATTAGGGTCACGTAACAATGTATGTATAAATTTTTGTACGGAAGATTAACTTGAAATGTAAACTTCATTCAAACTACAACAATAAACAACAACAACAAAAGATTTACACGGCAAAAAAAAAAATACATCTGAGTGATCATATTCATATCCCATCCATGCCCCCACCTACTAATATGCACCAACAATAGAAACAGGCTCATTGCTGACCTGCTGTTAATATCAATTTGACTCAGTTCCTGTGGCAGAAACAAAAAAATTTTGAGTTTTGGTTACTTTGTTATATGGGAACCATATTTTTTATTTATTTATCTCCATTTCCCTTAATATTTCAGAGATAATGCTTAGATTTAAACTTCAATTAAAGTTTCTAATTCCAGAGGTCAAAAATAGCTAGTTATTGATACTGATGAGCTTCTTTCCTATTAAAAGCTATCTTTCCTGATTAACCTTGGTAGGATGAGGAAGGGAGGGAGGGAGGGAGGGAGGGAAAATATGTTGGCTGGATGGAAAATTGGAAAGCTAAAATTGACATCTTCCACAGTCACAACGACTCTTCTGGAACTGCATAGAAAGTCACAGAGAATTCTCTGTTGAAACTCACTAACAGAATAGCACTGACAATGCTAAAAGTATCTAAAAGTAAAAGGAAAATAGACTTTACCATTTTACATTTCTTAGAAAAATCCTATTATTAAAATTTAGGATTAAAACTGGCCCCTCTCTATTCTGATTTACTAACATTTAACTGTGATCAATTGCTAAAAAAAGGAAAAAGTGAGGATTGAGAAAGGTCAAGTTCAGACAGGTAAGAAGTCTGGTATGTACAAAAACTGAGATAGGATAGTGCTCAACTCATATGCTGGCAATTGGAGTCCATTTATGGCCCGGGGCTGCCATCAGCTACAATCGGAAAATGGTAGACCAATAAAATCTACTCTCTCTAACACACATTAATTTTCCTTCATAGAAAGAACTTTTGAAATCCAAGACTCACTAATCAAGTTAGTTAAAGGAAATGCTGCAGACTGTTCACAGAGACACATTATGTTTAAAGCAAATTTAAAGAGTGCAAATAAGCTCCAAGATTGTATTTGAGAGTGTGGATCTGAAAGCAGGCTGCTGTTACCCTGAGGCATAGCCTGCATAATGATCATATTAAAATACAGATTTCCTTCAAATTATTCTCATTAATTATGTTAACCAATTTGAATGTATCAAGAAAGAATTTTACCAACAGTATAACAAGGTATGTATTTACATTTCCATTTGTACCTTAAGGACAAACTGTTAACAATAAAGACAATGATTATGAAAAACAAGACTAAAGGTGTGTTCATTTGGGGAAAAACTAGATTAGTATTATTCATCCAACAACAAACACTTTTATAATGAATGCAATACTACAAAACAATTCACAGTTTTACAAAAAGTTGAAATGCAGAGTTTCATTACAATTTCTTTACAATTCAAAATTTAAAAGAATTCAACTCAGATTAATGCTTAACTATTTTACTCTAAAATCTGTAAAATATATAAAATACCAAGATTATCAACAGTCACAAATGTTCTGAAGTCAGGGGACACGTGTATTTTCTTCAGATTGGTTCCGTTGGTGTAGAAGGTCTGTAAAGATTCCCCAGTGACAACATTCCACCACTATTCAGAGAAAAATAAAATTATCATTAGACTGATAATTACTCTGTATGACAATTGGCAGTGCTGGCTGGATCCTTTGCCCTATCACTTCCCAATCCCAAACTTAAGCAAACAGCAAGAAAGAAGTCTAAGGTTTAATGCTGCAATATAATATCATCAACATGGTCAGCTTTCCCTGATTAACCCTGGTGACTACCTCACAGCTTTGCCTACACCTAACTCTACCACAGGGGTGCTTGAGAAAAGCTGTTGCTTATGTCAAAGCTGCTACACGAAGTTCAGTGGCTGAACTGAACTCTCCTGTCTACATGTCTTCCTCAGTGGAATGGACAGAGAATATCCCTCTCTTCACTCTAAAATGGCCATTTGCAGACACGGAATGATATTCTATTAGACACCCAGACTCTTACGTGTACTATGGGCTGTAGGAAAGAATGTTCCACTTTACCAAAATCTTCCATTTTACCAAGAGTGATTCAAAGAGTCCATGACCAAGTTTCTTTGCTAAACAGATACTGAACACACCTCAAATGTAGCAGACACTCTGGCCAACAATTTTCCTTTCTCCTCCCAATCACTGAATTTGCTAAGATTATAATGTATTCAACTACCAAATGGAGATCACAAAGCTTACCTACGTATCTCACAGCTAAAATGAGCAAGAGACCATGTACATGAAAACATTCTGAAAAGGCCTCAGGTACACCAAGGCTCAGCTACATCGAGAGTACTATGAACACAGTATCACTAACCTCTGAATCCCTGGCAGTGCCCAGCATCCTACCTTGCACATGTGACTGGGTTGACTATTTATGTTCACTATTAGTAATAGTAACTGGTAAAAGCATACCCCATGGACTTGAGTAAACTTCACTGGAGCAGCATGAACTAACTTGGGATTTTCTAGAACTGACAATATTGCTTTGTAAATTAAAAACGTAAAGAAGACTGCAGAGGATACATTCCACATACTTGAGAACACTGATTAGTTTTCAGTTGTTAGGGGCAAATGGCAGAGGTAGTAAGAGCTTTACAGATCACCTAGTCCAACCACCTCATTTTACAAATAAGAAAACTGGGGTTCAGAGAGAAGAAAGGCCTTTTCACCCAAGACAACACTGCTAGCAGAGTCAGATGTGCTAGCAGAGGCGGGATAGTTTCTGACTTCCTAATCTAGTGCTCCCACTACCTTTCCCTCTGTTTATTAAAACAGACCACACTACCTGAAAACACTACATCTGACACAGGTTTGAATATGAACTAAAAAACAGTAATATTAGAATAGCAGCTAAAACTTAACTCAGAGTAAGTACACTATCTGCTGCTATGTGTATATACGATACATGAAATTAACTCATTTAATCCTCTCAACCCTATGAAGTAGGTATTATTATTATACCCATTTTACAGATGAGAAAATCGAGGCACAGAGAGGATAAAAAATCTTGTGCAAGGAGACACAGCTAATGAGTGGCAGAGCTAGGCTTTGAACTCAGGCACTCTACCCCATGGCCCAGTCCCCTGACCATTACACTCTAAGTAATGGCAAACTTGCATTTCTCCCTATGTAGTCCATATTTCAAATCAGCCTTTCCCCTCATGAGTATGAATTACTGTCAATTTCTTGTCATTCTAACAGTACATGCTCTGTGGCATAATGCAGATAAACAGCTAAACTATTTTTTAACTTAGGAATAATTTTGAGAAACAACAGCATTTTAGCTACTGGGTATCTACTGTATCTTACTGACACTCAATTTATACAGCTTGGAGTCCAGAATAAGCAGACTCGAAAGGCCTATTTTCTTGGATATTACAGCAGCTGTTCCTTTTTACTGTTAATCTCCTCGGTGCTTGTGGACAGTCTCATTAACATGCTAGGGAGATGTAGGCTGGACTATATCATAATCAGTTTAACCATGATAGTAATCAAACCAGAAGGGAAAAGTAGCATGACTGTGACTTAAATATACAAACCAACTACATAGGCTACAGATTTCTTTCACCTTTACAGTAGGGGTATCTATTCTGCTGCTAATTTACTTCAAGGTTGCCCAAGAACTCTGCAAATCTGTTCACTGATTTTCATAACATCTTGTAAGCCAGATTCACGCGTATGTGATAGCATTCTCTGGGGCCTAGAGAATCAAATGACATGGTGTCTAGAAGCTCAGTGTCAAAACTGGGAAGCTTTTCAGCAGTCAATATAGCTCAAGACTCCAAGCTTACAACATAAAGGCAGCCATGCCTCTCTTCTCAGCATCATCCTCAGAGCAGGCCAAGAGTTACGGTTTATATTTACATTAAAGGAAGACAAGTGGTGATCATGTCTCACTCAGGATGCCCTAGTAACCGAACAAGCTGTGCCCTCAAAAGCTGTGAGTTAATGCAACATTTTGTAAAGAGTTGTATTGTCAATGCAACCTTGTAAAGGGATCATAAAGTACATCCTTTTATAAAGCGAAAAACCGCCCTCCAATTTATCTTTTTATAAGCTAGATTTTATGTTTAGTAAAATTGCAATTATGTGGGTCCCATACAGCTAAAAACTTTAATTCATTCAAATATTTTCTAATATCTACACTGTGCTACACAATTAATCAGAATCATATCCTACACTTTACGGTTTCCAATAAAAAAATTACAACATCATAAGTTCTTACTAGAGATCTATCTTAAAAGAAAAGGCTTTTAAAATGTCTAACTCGTCAGTACAACATATAGTAAGTATCATCTCCTCTGGCTTTTACAAGTCAATCACCATTCAAAAGACACACCTCAAGCATCCCCCCTCCCTGTGGAGCCTCTGCTAAGCCCTAAAGGTAGAAATGAACACTCTTCTCCTTTGTGTCTCCTGGATCTTCATGTAACTGTGTACCAGACCACCTCAGACACTTTAGAGACTATTTACGGTCAGCTTGTGCCATAGACTGTAAGCCCCCTGAGGGCAAGAACCAAATCTTATACACTGTATAACAAAGCACAGTGTCTTAGCACAAAGTGGGTACTTAACACATTCTTACCAAACGGATGAATAAATAGATGGAAGCACCAAAAAATGACACTGAAGCACCACAACATACTCAAGCTTTGGTCTCAGTATTCACTAATAAATGTGCATAAGCAAACCTGATACAAAAAACTGAGTGGGGAGAAGACCTGGGTTTCAGTCTTAGCTCTTCTACTTATTATGTAATTTTAGGAAACTCATAACTTCCATAAGAATCAGTTTCCTCATCTATAAACCAAGGATAATAAAATTTAAGCCCCACAAAGTTGTAAGGACCTAAAGAGATGATGTAAGAAAAGCCTTTTGTACACTGTATAAAGCAACATGTTGCTGCTGCTGCAGCTATTATTATTGTTGTTGTTGTTGCTAAAGGGAAAAAATTACAAATACATTTTTTAAAAGACTTTCAACCAAAATAGATAGTAATGAGTGAAGTGAAAAATAAAGTTAAGTTAAACACCCTACTTGCTAGTCATTCTGATCATCTAAGATTTTGTATGGGGCAATATGAGAGCTCTGGACTGTCACCAAAACTTCCAAGAGTCTGAGGAAAGTAGCCTTGCAGATCCCAGTCTGCTCATCACTGCAAAATGGGGATGACAGGAACTGCCCTTCTACTCTCCTGTATGAGGACTCACTGAGATGCAGGAAGTGAAGACAGCTTCCAAAGAGTGTTATAGGCTGTTCTCTTCTTGCACAAAAGTCATTAAGGAACTCTTACCTTAAGATATCCCCCGGCAGAGACAAGCATTTTGCTATCTGGAGAAAAACAAAGGTCGGTCACCCAGCCTTCGTGGGTAGCAACTCCTTCTTCTACTGAAATCGGAGCACACAAATGAAGCAGCTCACCGTTTGAGACATTCCATATCTACATAAACATGATACACGATTCATTAACAGGGTTACCCAGAAGCTGTCTCTACTTTTAAAATATACATATATCATCTGGAACATACTTAGAAATCTTGCTTAAAAATATAATAATTACAATTCTGTGATGCTTTAGGAATTTTTTTACATTGCATTCTCTCCTCTCCAATTAAAAAAAAAACTAATTATAATAAATACTAATTACCCACAATATTTATTATTAACCCTACTCCAAAAAATAAAACAATAGGACTAGAGCAAGTGATTATAATACTATGGCTCTTTCCATTTAATAAGAAGAAAATGGGAGGAGCCAAGAATAAGCAAAAAAGGCCTAACAAATAAAATATCTCAAAAAAATAAAGAATTCTAGTCCAGGAGCTAACACCAAGAATGTTGACAGATGTCAGTCAAACACCTAAATCATATGTATTTTAAACATAATAAATCCCTGTAAGTTTCTAAATACATATATTCTAAGATATTTTACTAGACTCTTGTAAACAACACAATCACTTATAGATGCAAATATTTCCATTAATTTCTAATGACACTTCATATGGGTGTAGTAGTCTAATTTTTCAAAGAAATGCACATCAGAATAAGAAATAGAAGTATAAACAGCAAAAGAAAAAAGTCAAAGTCATCATCTGCAAACATCTCCCTAAAAAATTCAAAAGAACCAAATGGAAAATGTCATTAGAAAGACTTCAATAAGATAGCTGGATATGTGTGCGCACGCGCATGCACGCACACACACACACACACACACACAGCTTTCCTACATTTTAAATAATCAGGTATAAAAAAAAATTTTGTTTTTAATGCACTGAGGAAAATTTTTTAAATAACATTCAAAATTTTAAGAGAGAGAGCTTTTTTAACAGGGGTTCCTGAAAAATGAAACACTGCCTCATAACTGGTAAAGATGAGAAACTCAGAGCAAAATGAATGTTCCCAAAGCAGCCCTGCCACTTTTGCTGACACAACATTTATGTGACTGGTATAGAGAAGGTTGGCTACTTAGTTCTCAAGCAAGAGAATTTTAATTTTCCTGGAAAGCCTATCCAATAACTCCTCTATTCCTACACACTGAACAGTCTCCCATTCTTCTGCATTATATACCTATTCCTTGGGTTTTAAATCATTTGTGAAAAAAATTCAAAACAAAAAAAGACACTCTTCTCGTATATACTGGTTACCAAAGCCGAAACTTTTCCCATCAACTGCCCAACACAACCAAGTCGACTGCTTTTCCATGATTTCTGATACATCAGCATGCAATGCTTTCCCTACTATATTTCCATCTTTAAAAGAGGAGACACAAATAAAATAGCATTCTATTGCCTTAGCATGTCTCCTAAAAAGATGTTTTCTAAATAAAATTGGCAATGGTTTATCTGTATATCTTAAGCACTGCAGAGTAAGAAAAACCGACATCGTGCAGACTCCACCTCAGTAAGGAGACCTTGAATGCCCGCCCAGTGACAGGAATGTGAGCCTCTGGACTGCTGAACAAAGGCAGACGGTCCATTGGGAGCTGCAATAAGCCACACTGTAAAGGCTAACTATCTAATGGGTATAGTGCTAAAAAGATCCTTCCTTAGCACTGAAAACAGCAGAATTCACCACTTACTTATAACCTAGATAATGATTTACAAAATTATTTTCCTCAAATTCTGCCACCAAAAACAACCTGTGGTCCAAGTCCAAGAATTAAGATGAATCTTTCTCAAGCTAACACAGAGAACCAGCTGCAAATAACTAGGGCATTTGCTTCCTCACATATATAGGAAATACTTCACTCTAACTCTACTAACTCTAAAATGAATTCTTTCTGCAGTAGAATGCAGCTGTAAATAAAACGTGCACAGAGCCCTTCAAGAAACAAAACAAAGAATGCCTTATCCAGTCAGAACCCCAGGGACTGTGCTTCCCTGTCACACTAACAAAGGTCCCCAATGTCCTGGAGAGTGCTGCTAGCCCAAGCCATAGGAAGAGCAGTGTTTTCAGGTCAGCAAACACCCTACCCTGATTTCTCCGTTGTCATCTCCAGTCGCCAGCAGGGTACTGTCCACAGAGAAGACAGAGCAGCGCACACAGCTGTCATGGCCACTCAATTCATGAAGAAGGGAAAGGGGTTCAAAATTCCAAATCTGAAAGGCAATTATGAGTTTTTAGAAATAGTAAATGCACTACAAAAAAAATCTACAAACTCTGCTTTAAGTGCTATTTAGTCATAAATTCAATTGCATATGAGTTCTAACATTTGATAGTTCAAAGGCTTTCAAGATATTGCTCAAGTTTCAACTTGAAACCTTACTAATTTTTCTGATTTACCTTTAATTACTCAAGTTAACTTCAGTTCCAGGGCCAAAGTCACAGCTTCCTTAACTTTATTAAAGAAGGAACTTCTTGGAAGAAAGAAGAGGGCCATGGATTGAATTGTGTTCCCTAAAAACATCTGTCACCTTGGCCAGGTCATGATTCCCAGTATTGTATGACTGTCCACCATTTTGTAATCTGATGTGATTTCCCTATGTGTTGTATATTCTATCACTACGATGTAATAAGATGGATTAGTGGCAGTTATACTGATGAGATATACAAGAGTAGATAGTGTCTTAAGCCCATCTCTTTTGAGATATAAAAGACAGAAGCGAGCAGAGAGACATGGGAACCTCATACCACCAGGAAAGCAGTGCCAGGAGCAGAGCGTGTCCTTTGGACCTGAGGTTCCTGCGCAGAGAAGCTCCTAGACCAAAGGAAGATAGATAACACGGACCTTCCTCTAGAGCTGACAGAGAAAGCCTTCTGATGGAGCTGACGCCCTGAATTTGGACTTGTAGCCTACTAGGCTGTGAGAGAATAAATTTCCCTTGGTTAAAGCCATCCACTTGTGGTATTTCTGTTATAGCAGCACTAGATGATCAAGACAAAGAGCAAATCAGTTAACAGCAGTCTGTGGAGTGAAGCAGACCTGAATGTGAGTCCTGGATGGGCTACTTACTAGTTTCTTGTGACCTAGGACAACTCACCTAAGCTTCCCCAGCTTCAGTTTCTGCATCTGTAAAATGGGCACAATAGTACCTATGATGTGGAGATTAAATGGGATGATAGAGAGGGAAATCTCTAGCACAGGGCTTAGCACATGGCACGTGTTCCTTAAAGGTTAGTCACTATTATCCTATTATCTTTGTGGCTGTTCTTTGCCTTCCAATATTTTCCCTTGTCATTCTGTCATCGTCGTTTAACTAGCATATACGGAAAACCACTATGTACCAGGCACTGTGAGGTAGGAGCTGGTGGTACAAAGATGAGCTAGATACATCCTCTGTCCTTGAAAAGTTTATAATTTAGTCAGAAAGATAGGCTCATGAACAAAACAGTGAACAGCTGTGCAAAGTAAATGTGTAAACAAACATGAATAAAATATAATGGGAACACTGAAGGTAGGGTAGTTAACCCTGCCTCAGGGTCAGGAAGGCTTTAGTGACAGCAGAGCTGACGTCAGATCCAGGTCTAAAAGGATGAGCCATAATTCTTTCAGGTAAGAAGGGAGTAGAAAGTTTTGTCAAACTAAAGTTAACGGCATGCACAAAAAGATGGGGACAGGAAGTAGCCCCGCAAACAGGGAACAATGTAGCAGAAACATGCTAATGGACTAAGGAGTTTGGGTTATAAACCTTCAGATAACAGAGGTATTTCAGACAAGGACTCAGGCAGCAATCTGGAAGATACACCGGCGAAGGCACAGACTAGTGGCAGGGAGGATGTGAGGAGAGAGTCCACCAGCGAAGAGGGAAGAGAAGACAAGTCAAGAGACATTGAGGAGTTATCAACAGAGCATGAGAGACAAGATAGAGTCCCTGACAACTCCAAGTCGTGTGGAAAGATGAGTAGACAGTGATACCATTAACAGAAAGGAGAAGAAACAGAAAATACTCAGAGCTCACCATCTGATTAAATTTTCCAGAGAAAGTTATCCCAAACACGTATTCACAGATTTCTGAACCTCACAATACCAAGCAGTGTCAATTCACTGGAATGTGATTTTCAGAAGCATCAACATATATCAATTATATAAGAATTTATTGTAGGTGTACAATTAAATGTAGAACATTTTCAATGATTTTTATTGCCTGTAGTATGAAGTAGAGATTGCATTAGATTAGAAAGAGACAAAAAGTAATCAGTAAAGTAGAAACCAGGAGTCCTCAATGTCATTCATTCAATCTATTCAATGCCTACTAAATGCCAATGGCTCACAGAATAGGACACAGACATGTAGACACAAACTGTTATTGTCCTGTTTTACACATTATTTGAACCTATAATACATAACCACTACCAAAGTTTTATGCATGCATGTCTTAGTCATCTAGTGCTGCTATAACAGAAATACCACAAGTGGACGGCTTTAACAAAGAGAAGTTTATTCTCTCACAGTCCAGCAGGCTACAAGTCCAAACTCAGGGTGTCAGCTCCAGGGGAACGCTTTCTCTGTCGGCTCTGGAGGAAGGTCCACGTCATCAATCTTCCCTTGGTCTGGGAGCTTCTCTGCGCAGGAACCTCAGGTCCAAAGGACACACTCTGCTCCTGGCACTGCCTTCTTGGTGGTATGAGGTTCCCATGTGTCTCTACTCACTTCTCTCTTTTGTATCTCTGAAGAGACTGGCTTAAGACACTATCTAATCTTGTAGATCTCATCAGTATAACTACCGCTAATCCATCTTATTACATCATAGTGACAGAGTTTACAACACATAAGGAAATCACATCAGATTACAAAATGGTACACAATCATACAACACTGGGAATCATGACCTAGCCAAGTTGACAGATATTTCTGGGGGACACAATTCAATCCATGACACTCTACTCTTTGGCCCCAAAGATTCTTGTCCTTGCCATGTGTAAACCATATTCACCCCATCATAGAATAGCAAAAGTCTTAAATCAACTCCAAGTCCAAAATCCAAAAATTGTTCTTCATCTGTGAAATCTAGAATACAAGTTACCTGCTTTCAAAAGTACAATGGTGCAACAGGCACAAGCTAGATGTTTCCATTACAAATGGGAGAAACTGAAGGAAAAGAAGGGATGATAGGCACCAAGCAAGTCAGCAGAACACATTACATTAGCCCTCAAGGCTTGAAAATAATCTTCTGTTCTCTGAGACCATTTACACACTGGTCCTGCCCTGCAGACTCCAGGTACTGGCCACAGTCTCTGAATCCTGAGTGGAGGCCCCTCGGCCCTGGGCTTCAGCTCTGCCTTCCAGGCCCACTGGGACAGCAACCCTGCTTCCTCGGCTTTAGACGTACCATTCTCCTAGTCCATCTGAGTGGCGACTCCATCTTTAGAAACACCAGAGGCCATGTCTCCACCCTTTGAAACTCCAGAGGTCATGGCCATACCTTTTGAGACTGAGGCAGCTTGGCTTTTTCTGTTCCCTGTCTCTTTAGCTTCTGCTTCCTATGGCTTCTCAGCCCTCAGGCCTCACACCCACATCTGCCCTGCTGGGACAAGTGTTCCAAAGCTCTGTAGCTCCACCGATTAAGTGCCCAGAGGCATCCTACTCCGCCAGGAAGCCCTGTGCATACAGGCACTCAGCTCTCTCACTCCGTAGGTCAGAAAGCCTAGCTCTACCAATAAATGTCTGGAAGTCTCGCTCTGTGGATCACCTCCAGAGCCGTCTTGCGCTGGTGTCCTGGTTCTGCTGCTGCTAGTTCTCCGCCGCTGCCACTTCTCTGTTGCTGGAGGTTCTCTGCTGCTGGTGGTCCTCTGCCTCTGCTGCTCCTCTAACCATTCACAGTTTCAAATCCGCTTCCACATTTTAGGTATCTGTTAGAGCACACCCCACTCCTGGTACCAAATTCTATCTTAGTCATCTAGTGTTGCTATAACAGAAATACCACAAGTGATGGTGTTAACAAAGAGAAGTTTATTCTCTCACAGTCCAGTAGGCTACAAGTCCAAATGCAGGGTGTCAGCTCCAGGGAAATGCTTTCTCTTTTGGCTCTGGAGAAAGGTCTGTGTCATCAATCTTCCCTTGGTCTGGGAGCTTCTTTGCGCAGGAACCTCAGGTCCAAAGGACGTGCTCTGCTCTCGGCACTGCCTTCTTGGTGGTATCAGTTTCCCATGTGTCTCTGCTCACTGTTCTCTTTTATATCTCAAAATAGATTGGCTTAAGACACTATGTAATCTTGTAGACCTCATCAGTATAGCCGCCACTGATCCATTTTACTACATCATAGTGACAGAGTTTACAACACATAAGGAAATCATATCCGATTACAAAATGGTACACAACCATAAAATACTGGCAATCATGACCCAACCAAGTTGAAAAATATTTTTGGGGGACATAATTCAATCCATGACAATGCACATTTCAACTGACTGACCTACCTTTGCAGTCTTGTCAGCAGAGGTAGATGAAAACTTGGTAGAATCAGGAGAAATATCACAAGAAAGTACTGTATCCTGGTGACAGACAAAGTCTTTTTCTATTCTTCCAGTAATAATATTCCACACCTTAAAAACAAAAAAACTCAAATTTGATACTTGTAAGAACATTTTGTCATTAGTGAGCATGATCAGCTATAAGATAGGTCAATAAAACAAGAGTTGTAGCAAATTAGTTGTTCTGACCTCTCTAAGTGCCCTTTAGTATAAATAAATGCTCATAAACACACAGCAGATGTAGGTGACCTCAGTAAACAGAAAACAGGCATGAGAAAATAAAAAAAAAAAAATGTAAGTAGTTACTTAACATCCACCTGCTTTTAGCTATCACAGTACACTACTACAATATTAGAAGACTTTTTTGAAAAACCAAACACATGCTTCAAATTACCTTCACTGTTCCATCAAATGACCAAGAAAGCAGTCTTGAATTTTTCAAGAGCCTAAAGTCTTTCACTGTTTCCTGATGGGCTTGCAGAAGGACATAGTCCTCTGACTGCCAATTCCATACCTGAATATCAAAGAAAGAAATCTGTTATAATATCTGTTGGAGGAGTAGGGGGAATGTACTCTCTCTCTCTCGTCAAGTCTCTTGCCCTCATGCCATTTCAGTAAAACAAAGAACAGTAACTAGGAGTATGTGGAGTTCCCATTTTACAGACAGAGAAGAGAAAAGCTGGTGGTAATTAACTTGATTAGGGCAAAAAAAATACTTTTCCTCCTAAATAAAATTTGTTTTCTTCAGTTGCTTGGAGAACAGTTATTATACCAGAAGACAGAGAAAAGCCACAATATGCCAGTGAGCTTACCATCCAAGTATATCTTCTAGAGAAAATAATCCCAATTACATATTCACAGATTTCTGAACCTCACAAGCTAGGCCAAGTCTGCGGATCCTGGCTCCGCTGAAGCTGGCTCTATTATCTAGGAAGGTCAGCTGACCAAAGTAGCTTCACACCAGGTCATGGAATTTCTGAGCTTCAGAGATCTTAGCTACCTCCTAATGCAGTCCTCAAAATGACATAAGAATTATAGTGCATTATTTTGCACACTGAAGTCCAAGAGGAACTCCTCAGGAATGATGGGATGGGGGTAAGTGAAATAATATGAGTAACTGACACAAAATAAGCATACAAGTGTATCCGAGGTACAGAAATGAACAGAACAGGAATTTATTTCTATGCCATGTGAAGAACATCTCTTAATTACTAAATCAAAGTGACTGTATTTAAAAGCGAACCAAAAAAAAAAAAACCCAAACCCGTTGCCATCAAGTTGATTCCAACTCACAGTGACTCTAACAGACAGAGAACTGCCCCATAGGGTTTCCAATGAGTGGCTGGTGGATTCAAACTGCTGACCTTTAGTTAGCACTGAGCTCTTAACCACTGTGCCACCAGGGAATTCTTGACTTCAAATTAATTTAACAAATGTTTATTTAGCACCTACATGTGAGGCCAGTATGAATCAAGCAAGGATCTAGCGTCAAGAAACCTAAGAGTCTAGTAGAGGAAATGAGACATTAAAATAAATAACAACCCTACAATAGAAGATATAATGATAGAGATAGAAGTTTAGTGACACTCAAAAAAGCAGTTCCTTAGAGAAGAACCGGTGGAGACCATGCATTCAAAGTAAGCTTGAGAAATAGGCTGGAAGTATGAGTCATAAACTGCATAGAGTAGGGCATTTCAAAGAGAGTTCCATTCCCTGAATGCTTGGGTTAAAGCACAGGAGCAGGAAAACATGAAAAGATTATAGGAATCTGCTCATAGTTCAACCTGGCTTGAGCAAAGGATATGCAAGGAGGAACAGCAGGAAAAATGTATTTGAAGAAACAGCCCAGAAGGCCCCATAAAGCTAAATTTCTGAGCTGTGGTCAATCAGGCAGGCTTCTATTTTTTTAACATGAGGAATAAAAAGATGAAGAAAATCAGCCACCACCACAGGTATCCACACTAGTAACATTCTGGGCCTAGTTTCTGAGTAATGAATGTTAAACAGTAGAAATGTCTTTAAGCCTTTTCCCATCAGGCTTAGGCAAAACTGTAAAAGAAATGACACCTACCTCATTCCCCTTTCTTTACACCCTTATCTTACACATTTAGATGTCACCCTGCCACCAAGCCCTGGTTCTCAGATCTCTCCCTATCTTCTGTTTCAGAGTGCTCATTCACAACAGCAGGATATCACAGAAGCAGGAGGTCTTAGAAGAAGAGCTGGAAGTGAAAGTAATTCTAAAAAGAAAGGATTAAGAACCCAATGAGATATGCTAGGGGAGGCAGAAGAAACGAAGGCTTTTCTGGCTCCCCAAATCATACCAGAAAGGAAGGGCACCCTGGGTGACAAAGCATAAAATACTCTAGACCATTTCCACTGGGAATTTTCTGGCTCCCTCTTTACCCTTTCTGGGCTTTACTGGACTAGAAGATGAGTGGCTGCCATTAACAGCTCCTCTGACTGATGGTCAATGCCAATCCAAGCTGTGCCTGATTCAAGGTTCATTTTTGACTTAGGTTCTTACGACTGCCCTCCACATATCAGAAAGTAAGAGAGGTTTCCTAAGCAGATATAACAAAGAATTTGACAATCACTGAAGGGAGAAAAGAAGAGCCTTAGCAGCTTTGTTACAGAAGCTTTCTGATTAAGGCAATGATGACAGGGATATCTTTTTTTGTTTGACTCAAACATACCGTACTAATTGAATCACCTTGAGATAATAGCTAAACTTCCAGCAGCTTTAGTCAAATGTATTGAAGTTGAGTTTGGGGATGCCTCTACCATCAGTTATCATTTTTGCAATGTATGTCCACTGTAGAATTTTTTTGGCTATACTCATTGCCGTCTAGTCGATTCTGACTCATAGTGACCCTACAGAAATAATTAAATTCTAAAAATGACAAGGAATTTTCTTATACATTGGCCCAGGTGAACATGAAATGGCTACTACATGGGTTTTATTTACCTCAAGGTAAAAAAATCAAAAATTACTGAGACAGATCTCAATTTTTACAACTCTAGGTGTCATAATAAGGTCATATGATTTTTCAAATTTTGGCAATAATTTTAGTTCAGTTCAACAAAGATTTACTGAACTCTCTCTATATTCCAGGCACTGGAGATACAAAGATGATTAAAAGTCATTTACCTAAACATTAAAAAACTAAAACAAAAACCCAACTAGTCATTTCTTGAAAATACCTATCAAGAGTTTTTTTTACATGAATGTATACGCAATAAAACACTTTAAATGCAAAAAAGTATCCTGAATAGATAAGAAGGTGAAACATAACTGATACTTCTAAAAATAATATAACTTCTATTCTAAAAATATTTCTAAAAATTATTTCTCCCTCTGGCTGAAAAGATTTGATCTTCAAGCTGGTCATAAAACCTTACAAATTTAGCTTTCAAAAGAAAGGCTATATAGTATACAATGTCTCAGCAGGATTTCATCAGATGTATTTTAGTTTTTACCCATTACAAAGACATCTGGAGATGAAGAACAGTGAACATTACACTAGGTTTCGCAGCTAATACACCAGTACCAGGGGAGACTATGATAATAAGTTTCTGTACTGAAGCCAAATTCATTCCAATCATACACCTTCATAGGAATCACAAAAATAGAGGCTATTTTATACTAACAGAAAAAGATTTTTTTCCAAAATAGTTCTTAATAGTATAGTTAATTAGGCATTACCATCATAAGAAATGTACGGAGTCTCTGGGTGGTGCAAAAGGTTAATGTGCTTGGCCACTAACTGAAAGGTTGAAGGTTCCAGTCCACCCAGAAGTGCCTCAAAAGAAAGGCCTGGAAATCTACTTCTGAAAAATCAGCCATTGAAAACCTTATGGAGCACAGTTGTACTCTGACACGAGTCAGAGTTGACTTGATGGCAACTGGTTTAATACATATACTAAATAAAAGAATATATAACAACAAAAAGACAAAACAACCCAATCAAAAAATGAACAAAGAACTTGAACATACAGTTCACCAAAGATGATATTCAAATGGCCAACAAGCACATGAAAAGATGCTTAACATCATTAGCCACTGTTGTTGTTAGTTGTGGTTAAGTCAATTCTGACTCATGGAGATCCCCTGTGAGGGAGATGGAAATCAAGATCACATTGAGATATTACCTCACCCCCATGAGAATGGCAATGATCAAAAAACGGAAGACAACAAGTGTCGACAAAGTTATGGAGAAACAGGAACCCTCATCCTCTGCTGGTGGAAATGTAAAATGGTTCAGCCACTGAGGAAAACAGTTTGGCAATTCCTCAAAACTAGAACCCAGAATTATGCTCAACTGGAGAACAGCAACAGAAATGAAGTACAAGAGAACTGTGGTAAGGACTGGAAGGGCTATAGCACTCAAAATTAACTGGGACAACCCTACACTGGGGAAACTGCTGGAAATAAGAGTCCAAATTGAGTAGGATAAGAATGACAGGGGCAAAAAAAAGGCTCCAAATAAGACTGAAGGATGGTTCGAGAGCAAAGAGATCTCTTAAGAACAAGTCATATATATATACATATATATGCATATATATGTGTATACATATGTATATATACATATTTTCAAGAACGAGCCATATTTTTAATGCTTCATGAAAACAACAGAAGAGGGGGTTACAGAGTTAGAAATGCTGGCCTTCCTCTCCCTCCTAATAGTTCAGGAAAACTAATTTCAGGTAAAAAAGAAAAGAATTGTGATCGAATTCCAAAAAGAGTCACCATGAAAAAAAAAACAGAGAATAAAGTGCAGAATAATGCCCCTCCAGACAACAAAAGCACATCTAAAAGATTAAAGGGTATCTGGATTAAAGGGCATCTGCAAAACTGAGGATTATGGTATTAAAAACAGAAGATCAAGTGAAGATTTACATACTAAAAGTTGAGACCCTGTATCTACTCCCAGTTTTCTTTCCCCCACTTAGCTCTGAGAACTCCAGGCAGGAGACTAGATTTATCTTTAGAAATCTCACCAGACTAAGACAAAAGAGCTGAAGATACTAACAACACCCCAGAAGACATGGCCCCGGACTCTCTGTTAGCCCAAAACTAAAACCATTCCCAAGGCCAACTCTTCAGACAAAGATTAGACTGCACTATGGACATAAAATGATACTCGTAAAGAGTGTGCTTCTTAGCTCAAATAGATACATGAAACTAAATGGGCAGCTCCCGTCCAGAGGCGAGATGAGAAGGCAGAGACGGTCAGGAGCTGGTTGAATGGACATGGGATATCCGGGGTGGAAAGGAGGAGTGTGCTGTCACAGTATAGGAAGAGCAAGTAGGGTCACATAACAATTTATGTATAAATTTCTGTATGAGAGACTAACTTGAATTATAAACTTTCACTTAAAGCACAAAAATAAAATTAAAAAAAAAACCAGATACTAACAACAAAGGTTCTACACCCAGATCCCTCAGAGAAGGTCTCAGTAAACACACAGAGCTTTCAACTGGCCTTTTAATGCCCATCTCTGGTAGTCAGTGATCACTACACAGCTAAAGGGAGCCTTTAAAATAAAAGAGAATAAAACAACCAAATAGAAGAAGCAACTTAGAGGGAATAGCAACTGTGCAGGGAAATGAAAACCTGACCAACAAAATATATATACTTAATATATACATATCCACTCATCCATCCTCAGAGAAGTAAGAGAAGATATTTCATCTGTGAAACAAGAACACAGTGCTCCTCAAAAGAAATAAACAATATAATGGCAAGGTAAAGCTAAGGAAAACTCCCAGGAAGTAGAGTACAGAAAAATGAAATATTGAAGAGAAAACACTGATGATCAGTCCAGAAGATCCAACATCTGAATAATGGATATTAAAGAAAGAGAAAGCAGATTTGAAAAGAATCAAAGAGATAATTCAAGAAAATTTTCCTGAATTGAAAAACATAAGTTTCCAAGTAGAGAAAGGATACTGAACGCCCAAAACAATATGTGAAAAAAAAAAAAAAAACTACACTAAAGCACATCAACACAGAATTTCAAAATTCTGTGAACAAAGAAAAGATTCTAAAATCTTCCAAAGAGAAAGATTAGGAATTGGAATGGCTTCCAGCTTTTCTCAACATGAATTTTGGAACCTGGAAGGAAATGGAGCAGTATCTTCAAAGTTTTAGGCTAAAATAATTTCCAACTCCAGCCAAATTTAGTAGAAGGTAGAAATTTCCTATATTGCATTAAGGCAGGAAAAGCATTCATATACCCTCCATGGTTTAGATGTGAATAGTGTCTAAACCCCCCCAAAAAAACCACTGCCATTTAGTCAATTTCAACTCATAGCAACCCTATAGGACAAAGCAGAACTGCCCCATAGGGTTTCCAAGGCTGAAATCTTTACAGAAGCAGACTGCCACATCTTTCTCCCATGGAGCAACTGGTGAGTTTGAACCACTGACCTTTTGGTTAACAGCCAAGTGCTTAACCACCACACACCACCAGGGCTCCTATGAATTGCATCTATTTAGTCATAATAATGATACTAATGATCTAATCAAAATTATAGTTTTATTGGGATGTTGGGGGTTGATAAATGGGTATGTGTGCAAGCGTGGGTGCACGTATGGTTGGAGGCAGGACACGTGGAAGGTAAAATAGAGCTAAATCCTCATCTTACTATAAGGGAGTTAGTAGATAATGCCTCAAATGGAAAAAGTTAAGAATTAGCACTATAAGTATGCCATATGGGAGGATGAAGGCAAACATGAAAAGAAGCATCTAAAAGCAAAAAGTGGTTGCTTCTGGAGAATGAGAAATGGAAGGGGTCTAGTTTTCATAATAAGCCTTGAAATATTTGAATTTTTAAATTATATGCATTGGAATTTCAGAAAAAAAAATTTTTTTTAAGTATAGTAAGCTTAATCCCTCAGTATACACAATCTTCCATTAAGATAAATTATTCTTTCTTCACAAGATTTCATCACTGTAATAAACATTTTTTCTTGAAAGGAAAGAACAAAATTATTTTAATCAGATTTTATTACTGTAAAGAAAAATAAGGAGACATTGCATGAATGTGGCCAAAAAAATTTATTGATACAAATCCAAGTCCTCTGGCAGGCAAGAAAGTTCAACTGAACCCTTTGTTTTCAAAATAAACAATCTCCCAGTAGAAGGTTCTAAGTTAAATTGCTTCACACTCAGAAAATTAAGAAACACAAATGGGTTTCGACTAAGCCCATGTACATACAGCCCATGTATGCTCAAAGTAGGATGATCTTAAAGAAATCAGTCTTTAAAATACACACCAGATTGGAGCCATACCCTAACTGCTCCTTTGCCAGAGTCAGCATTACATATGTTAGAAGTCCATGCCCTCTCCTACCTGAATTGCAGAATCATCAGAGCTTGAAATAAGTGTCTTCCCATCAGCTGTGAACTGAATGTGCCATACAGCTTTCTTGTGTCCAATCCTGGACTGGAAGATTCTGCCATTTAGGAGTTCTAAAATCTTCAAAGTGGAAATCCCCAGAAAATTAATACAAAGAAGTACAACACCACCCAAGCATTACACCCTGAAGATATTAACTTAAAATTAAACTACAGAAGGGTATAGAATATCCATCTCATAGTGCTTTCAGTTTAGCTAAAAACACACAGATGAATGGTACACATGTGTATGTGCACAAACACACACCCTAAAATAACTTACTGGGATGACCAGATGGCAGTAGGAACCAGTGGTCCTTCTGAGTACTCAACTACCCAATTCATCAAACAAGTGGCAGTCTGGGCTCAACCTCCAATAACAAAATGACATTTGAGATGGATAGGAGAGAAGAAAGATAAAAATCCTGCATGAGACAAGACAAGCTCTTTACAAAACAACACAGAGACAAGAGAAAATAAAGAATGATGAGGGAGCTAGATAAAGGAAGAAAGGATATGAAAAGGCTGGGGGTCAGGGCACTATGATCTTAAGAGGACGAAATACTAACATGCCACAGGCAGATATTCAGAAAGTGGTAACAAAAACTCAAAAAATAATAACTATACCAAAAGGTTTACAAATGAATTCATGTTTTTTTTTAAAAAAAAGTAAATACGGTCTGTTTTCCCAGAATAAATTAAGGTATACTCAAGAGAAGCCTAAGGAAAATACAGATGACACTAAAAAGGGAGATTTCAGAAATTCAAACTTAACCTACATGTCTGAAAAAAGACCTGTAAAAAGCAAAGGGGAACTGGGTGAATAGGAACCTTTCTGAATAAGCAGGATGGACAATCTCAAAATTTTTGCAGAGGGAAGAGGAAGTGGGAAGTAGAATAACATAACAGTTGAGCGCATAGGCTCAGAGATCTGGGTTTGAATCCTAGCTCTGCCACTTTCTGATTTTATGAAAGTTATGGAAACTAAAAGAGTTTAGACATCTATAAAACAGGGATGATACTACCTAGTATCTGGGGTGTTACAGGAATTCAAAGACAATATCTGGCACAGTAAATACCTAATAAATGGTAGCTGTTATTATTTGATACTAGGCTGAACCATATGAAATTGTCTTTTTATAGGTTAAAAACAGTTGAATATTGGCAATTTGGTTCATAACATTTATATCATTTGATGATTTGAGGTGGATTAGGTTGTAGATGAGGCACGTGTGTGTTGTAATTTTCTTGAACTATCAGGCAGGCTTATATTTCAAGACACTTAGACAGCAAAAATAAAAAGAATATGGTGCTAGCTTGGCAACAAAGTAAAAAGAAAAAAGGGAAATAAAGACCCCTTAAGAAGAATTAATAATATATGACAGTTTGATATAAGACTGAGAGAGAAAGACTAAGGTTCACCTGCAAATGTATAACCATCCCTTGCTTAACAAACACTCAAAATATATTTTTTCAGTAAAGTACTCATCTTAACAATAAATAATCTTTCACAATGATAAAGAAAAAACAAAGCCTTAACTCTAAATTCATGCTACAATGGCCATGGCAAATACACAGTAGCACTGACATCACTTTCCAAATGCTTCCTTCTTCATTTCGGGTGTAAGCATAAAATTTCCTCTTTGTGGGGCAATGGGCTGGAGAACATTTATATAATTTCTCCTGAAAATGAATCCAAAATAAAATAAATGTGGCTAGCACCACAATTAATAAATTAAGAGGTAGCTCCAAAAATCCTGGGTAAGAAAAAGTGAGAGGAGGAACCAATGTTGTTTGACAAACTATTATAAAGCTAGAGAAAATGTACTTTTGTACATTTTTTATAAAGAATATATTTTTATCCAAAATGATTTTTATTTTAATATCCTTTTTGCCTTACAACTTAATTTTGTTTTTATTTATTGGTCTTGTTTAAATAAGTGAAGGATTTCAGGTGGTGAATAGGTGTACTTCTAAGTAGAATAGCAAGGGGTGGTAAAACAGGTAAGCATGAGGCAACCCTGTATTGATATTCCCAATGAACATTAGCAGTAACAAAATGGAAATAATGTATATCCCCAAATGGCTGAACTTCTAAGAAGAGGAGAAAAAATGCTCTTTGCATAGTTGGTTAAATCTCTGATAGTATTTGATACACTTAGAGAACAGCAACACAACTAGGTAGAGAATAAGGAACACAAAAAGACAAAAAAGTATGAAAAACAGTAGGAAAGGCAATCTGAAAAATATACAACCAATTGGATTGTAAGATTATTTTTAGTGTAATGGAACAATGACTAATATATCAAAGAAAGACTCATTTAATACGGTATATGATTAATTTTAAAGAACTATCTATATTGCACAGAATGACTCTGAAGACTAGAACTGAATACCTCAATGGCCCCATCTTCATCTCCAAACGCAATGTACTGAAGGTCTGGACTTAAGCAACAGCAACTAACTTGAGCTTCAGTCAGATAATCAGTCTGACCTGTTTTTCCATTAATGAGCTAATGAAAAATAAGGCACAATCAGTTACTAGGTTGTGAGAGCAGGCTGTTTCATCCTTTAGAAGAGAGGCTTCAAATGAAAAAATAAAACACAGAAAAAAACCAACAAGAGCTCCCAGGGGAACAACAAAACCCTGTCTTAGTCTCAGCAGCTGCATTTAGCACTTCATGCTTTCATTACATTTCACTTTTGTGATTCAGATACATTTTCATAAAATAAAACGAGCTTTAAAAGGTTTAAAAAGCAGCTGCTGTGCCCACCACCTGAGACACATCCATCTGATTTGTAATCCCATTGCTAGTTCCACACCCTGTTTTCCATTTCTTCACAAAGCCCATTTTAATAGGGCTATCATTTGTTAAAATACACTGCTGATATTTTTCTATGGGGTTGGTGAAACAGGACTGAAACAGACATTCCACAAAAAGACAAATCCAAATTAAAATGGATTTTATACCTTCCAAATCATTCACAAAACAGTGCAAATTAAGATTCTTTTCTCTTTTTCTTTTGAGGGTGAGGAAGTACTGAAATAGTGCCCAAAAGCCTAATTTGGACTGCTGAATTTGTAATGCTTAAACTAAGATTACCCTGTTTCATAATCTATACCAATGCTACTGATTATTTTTTTTAATTCCACTAATAAAAGATGCTTTATCACTCAACTCAAACACGTGACCTGCAAAAATATTGCTAAAGCTAAATCAATAGTCAGGTATCTCTCTATAACTTAGTGTTACAACCTAAAAATCTTGAATTTTTAACATGAAATAAACAGTCACCTTTGTTTCAGGTACAAAAATTATAGGGTCAATCAATCACAAGTAGCTTTTTCTTTATAATATTTTACCCAGCATGTTCTGATTTATTAGACATTCAAAATGAAGACTGAACTACTAAAAGCTGAATAGCTTCTTTCTCTCAAAAGACAATTTCCAGATGCCTTTGTAAAATAGTGACTAAAAAATATTTTGTTCACATAAATGGAACTATTATTTGGCAGTTTAACTATCCTCTAGACTCTTGCACAACCAATGACAGAAGAAAATGATACTTTTATATTCAGAAGACTTCTTTTTTAAGTCTCACAGTTATGTCAACTGTTAAAGAAAGGTTGCACACATTTAATAAAAGAAATATAAGCATGAGGATAATTAACTTGGCAAGAAAACTGCAGTGGAAAATACCTCAACTGGAAGAATCAGTTTGCTAAACCCAGTAAGGAGGAATTCACATTCAATTCCACATCCTAATTCATTACAGAAATACAAGACATTTGGATTTCCCAATCAACATATAGAGGACGATAGTAAAACTTGTAAAATATAAAATAAGTTAGGTTTGGGATGTCTCACTGCTTGACTCTGACCACTGACTAGAGAAGGAGGAGTCCTCACATACCATAGACAATTTATGCCCTGATATCTATCTCCCGAACATGGATTCTACCTTAACCCTAAAACCAGCTCACAGACTCTAAAGACAGAACGATCTTACAGGTAAAACAAACAAACAAACAAACAAACAAACAACAAAAAAAAAAAAACTGAGACTCAGAGAACTGATGTAATTTACTCAATATCACAGAACTAGTTGGTGATGAAGTCTGAATTTGAACCTGGGTATCCTGTGTGAAAAGTCACTGTTCTCTCCATTAAATAAGCTGAGCTTTGCAGCGTTAGAACTTGTTAGGCTCTGTCCTACTCTGTCAGTCTGTCTCAAGTTTTTGCTATCTCTCATACCTTCCATGTGCATGCTCTCTCTTTCTTCTTCTCTCCTCTACTTCTCTTTTCTCTCTAGCTCCTCTTTAGCATCTCATCTCATTCTTTCACACATGTTCTTACTCCTTATCTTTCGAATATAAAGACTGCATAAGATCACATTAAACCAAAACCAAACCGAACCCATGGCCATTAAGTCAATTCCAACTCAGAGAGACCCTACAGGACAGAGCAGAACTGCCTCGTGGGGTTTCCAAGGCTGTAAATCTTTAAAGAAGCAGACTTGCCATAACTTCTCCCACGGAGCAGCTAGTAGGTTCAAACTGCTGCTCTTTTGGTTAGCAGCCAAGCACTTTAACCACTGTGCCACCAGGGCTCCTAAAATCACATTATCACTGCACAAACATTTCCTTAGAAGTACAAGGCACTTCCATAAACCTGTCTGAGAAACAAGGCATCAAGTTGTATTCATGCTCTTAAAAAGCTAATGAAAAGTCCTAAAATAACAAATTTATTCTGAAAAAACAGTGCACAGGCTCATTAGCCCTCACCTTTCACGGGGTTTCTGCCCTTCCCAATCCTTATGTCTCTCAGAGAGTCCTCAGAGCAAGACGAAATGTCTCGGTAGCTCACATAAAAGCCACACTGATCCTGCCTTTCTTCTCTGGCTGATGCTCTTACTACCTGTCATGGATTGAACTGTGTCCCCCAAAAATATCTGTCAACTTGGCTGGGTCATGATTCCCAGTATTGTATGATCATGTAATCTGTGATTTCCTTATGCGATGTAAACTCTATCACTATGATGAGGTTATATGTGATCTCATGTGTTGCAAATTCTATCACTGTGATGAGGTTATACTGATGAGGTTTACAAGATTAGATAGCTTCTTAATCCAATCTCTTTTGAGATATACAAGAGAGAAGCGAGCAGAAACACATGGGGAACCTCATACCACCAAGAAAGCAGTGCCATGAGCAGAGTGTGTCCTTTGGACCTGAGGTGCCTGCACAGAGAAGCTCCCAGACCAAGGGAAGACTGATAACACGTACCTTCCTCCAGAGCCGACAGAGAAAGCCTTCCCCTGGAGCTGATGCC